GGAATCTAATAGCCATGAATTTGAGGGAGGGACGTGACTACATCTGTGCAGAAAATTTTGAGATCACATCTGAACATTCCATGAGAGACCCAGGTCTAACTCTTAGGGGCTGGTTTCATGGCAGATCTCTTCTAGGATGTGGACGCAGATTCTGAGGCGTGCAGTGAATGTTGCTGCAGTTAGTGAGATACGAACCGAAGGGGTCCCACTGCGGTGGGGTTTGCGTCCTCACTTGCTTGAGATCTCTGCTTAACTATCACCGATCACAGAGGCCTTTCCTGACCATCTCTTTAGAATAGAACCCTGTCCTGCTCCATCACTTTGCTTTGCTTTTCAATTGCTGCTGAGATAGCTCTCTCATGTTATATAGTTGCTGCTGCAGCACCCCCACCCATCATCCCCAAAAGAGTTGACATGTTGTCTTGTTTGCTGTGCTGTCCCCCGTACAGTGTCTAGCACCATGTTGGGCACCATAGTCCATGCTAATAGAGACTTGTTGTGTGCATGAATGGGAGTTCTAAAAAAGGGGCACATTATAGAACTCTGTTCCTATGTTTCCTTATATCAGCAGGAATTCATTTTCGTAATACATACTCTAGATCTTTTGGTGTATATTTATTTGTGGATGGCATTTGGGAGGGCGGGCTGGGTTCTCATGGCAAAACTTCCTTCTTTAGGTAAGAAATGTGGCCATCTTTGACCCTAGTGGCTCCCTGTCTCTGGACATAGCTGGCTACTAAGTACCTCCTCAGTGCCTTCTCTCCATTTCTACTGTGGCCACTGCTCAGTAGGTGGGATCCTGGAATATTGCTGATTCTCTGCCTCCAGCTTTACAGAGTGATCTTTGTAAAACACAGAATAAGTTATGTTATTCTACAGCTAAAATCCTTCTGTGCTTTCCATCACTAAAGATTGGATCTAAAACTCCTTAGCATGGCATTCCAGATCTGTCTCAGGTTGTGCAGGCTGCTCTAACAAACTATTGCCAACTGGGCAGCTTATAAACAACAGAAATGTATTGCTCACACTTCTGGAGGCTGGGAAGTCCAAGATTAAGACACCAGCATAGCCTCCTTCTGGTGAGGATCCTCTTCCTGGTTCATAGCCAGGTCCTCCCCCGTTGTTAAAGGGGGCCAGGAGCTCTCTGGAGGCTCTTTTATAAATCAGTAATCTCATTTATGAGGGCTCCACCCTCATGGCTTAAACTCCTCCCAAAGACCCCATCTTCTAGTACAAAATTTCTGGGGGTGAGGATTTCAACATATGAATTTTGGGAGAACACTGAGTCAGATGATTGCAAGACCTTTCTCAGTGTGGCTGTCACATGGTTTTTCAACTTTTTCCAGCTTCCCCAGTATACATACACACACCCTCTCTCCCTCTCCTTCCCTCCTTCTTTCTGGCCCTGCCTTTGTCGCTCTCTCTGCAGGGGTTCTCAGGGCCACAGCATGTCAGGTGCTCTCCTGCTCTTTGGGTCTTTGAAGAGGATGCCAATCCTCCCTTGTGCACCTACAGGGAAACATCCTACACCTCTCTGATGTCTTCCCTTACAACCCACTTTCTGGGCATCCTGAATCACTCCCGCCCCTCTCCATGTTTGCATGGCACTTCCATGCACAGCTTCATTTGTACACAGTATACTTTTGTTCCTGGGCCATGGAGGCTGCTTTCTCTGTGAGTTTGCCAGCTTTCTGAAGACAGTCTGTCTTATTTGTTCTTGAATTTACAGTGCCTAACAGTGCATAGCAGATAGTAGGAACTCAGTAGATATTGGAATGAAGTAATAAAATTTCAATAAGCTGTCTTATTAACAGATGCAAACCAACTCCCTGGCAGCAGGGAATTTAAGTGCAAACGGATCATTGGACTTGGCAACAGGAGTGTTGCCAAGATAGATCTGCACTGTAATAAGTGCTCTTCTTTGTCTTCTCAAACTGTCTTCAGCAGTGATGTGCTTTTATGGAGTGAAAAACCAAAGATCAGGAACTGTGTCAAAGCTCTGTGGTCCAGGACTAAACTGAGTCTTGCCGTCATCCTGACAGTACTTCTCTGGGTCAGTGTGCAGGAGACATAAAATGCTTTTTAGTGCAATTAAAAAAATGTATTTAAAGTGTATTTTGCTTTCTTTGTTGCTGTATTGTTTTTGTCTGTTGGTTTTGGCTTTTATTTGGGAAGCTAATGAGAGACAGGTTGTTAGAAAGCCAGCGGCAAGCTGTTTGGTTTGCTAACGTACTAACTGGACTCAGGTATAAGCCATCTGGGAATTCTGTGCATCAGGAAAAGCCCATCCCCACCACCTCCTGGGTGGTGTTACCTTGTGAACGTGGTCTGCTTTTCTCGGCAGTTGGTAAACTGATAATCCCTTTTTCCTCTCCCACCCAATTTATCAGTTCACAGGTCCACATAGTCCCTTTCAGGCCTTACAAAGAGAGGTTGCAAGTGCACTCACAAACACAAAGGTTCATTTTGTTCTTGAGGATGACAAATACTTAAAAAATTTTCCTTTTCATAAAACAACTAATTTCCATGTTATTTGAATTTCATTATATTGTCAGGGCAACATATTCCCTTTTCTCCAGTGAGGACGCAGGCTCGATGTGCTCACTGCTTCACAGGAGGCTGTGGCGATAACTTGCATCGGCCAGTCCCGTTTGCACCTGCCCCTCACACACGGCCCACACTGTGAGCAGGAACACCACGCTGTGAATGTTTAGAAGGGAAAATACCTCCCTAGTTTTATTTCCTGGACATGTTGATATCTAAGTGAATTATAACATATGCTGATATACTTTAGATTCCTTTTCTGATGCACAAATTCATATCATTTTCTCTTAGGTTAACATTATGGTGTCTCCACCCTCCCCTCCTCTCCCCTCCCCTCCCTCAACTGAGCTGTAGAAGAAATGGGCTTAGGAAATGAGTCACAAAGACAAAAGAAGGGCCCTTGGAGCTTAGGACAGAGAAAGGTGAAGGCCTCACGCCTGGGGGAAAGCGGAGGGAGAAAGGCTTGGGTGTGCTCCCAGAAGGGAGAGCGCCCGTGAGGTTTTCCTCGTACAGCCAGCTGCCGCAGTGTGAGAGAAATGCCAGCCACCGGTGGGCATTCAGGTATTTATTTAACCAAAAAACTGAAGGAATTGCCAAACGAAAGTAATTTGATCTCAAGAAAGGGGAAAATTAGTGCAAATGGGCCGCTTCAATATAACTGATCCAGAAAGGGGGTCTGTGTTGAACACAGCTGACCATATCCTAAGGAAGGAAATTCACCAGACAGCCTAATTTACTGTGTAAAGTCAGGAAAACCCCAGACTGGTTCCTGTTTGTTAGTGGGCACTTCTGCATAGGCACATGACCCTGGGGCTCTCAGAGGGATGAAAGCAATGAAAAACCAGAATGAGAAGTCATTGGCAAGAGAATTCAACTGTAAGCTTCCCCAGGGCCAAGAGTACATTTCTTTATCCTCTGCTGTGTGCTGCATGTCTAGCACTTTGCTGCAGGGGTGCACTCAGTAAATATTTAACGAATGGTTGGGTGGATGAATTGAGTGAATGCACAAGGAACTAATAAACAATGGGTGGACAAGGCTGGAAGGTTTAAGCAATGATGACCTATTAATGAAGGGAGTTAGCACGGGACAACTACCAGGCATTGAATGTACTGTAGGATGGATTTGCTTGGCTAGACCATTTGCTTGAGAGAAGAGAATTGGTAGGGAAATCCCCATATTACCTATTCTGGTTGAAATTTTGGGGAAGAAGAACTAGGGGTTGAAAAATGGATTAAGCCAGTTTGGCTGGAGGGAGGGGTCCTGTGCAGAAGCACTTTGAGAGCAGCACGGAGAAAAGAGGGTAGGAACTAAAGCAAGTGGCGTCAGGCTACAAGAACTGCCTGGGGGACCGGAAGCCCTTCCATTCTGAGATTGGGCAAGCAAGGAAGGAAGTGCTTCTGGGTGGTTAGAAGGTAAGATACCCCGGGCTTGTGGCTGCAGGTTCAGGCCCTTCTCCCCACAGTGCAGGAGGCTGCGGTGTTACCTTCTGGTGCACTCTGAGTGGATGGGTGTGCTGAGTCTGTGTGTTCATGTTTCTTTGTGTCCACAGAGAGGCAGCAGCTGGCGGCCCCGCCCTCTCTGTTCCAGAGGACTGGAAACCAATTTTGAACTTTCTTTTTTACCCACAAGAATTTTCACTCTAGTTTTCAGGTGGCTGTGACTAGAGGCGCCTGACAATGTCACAATGTCAACATATCCTTATTTAAAAAAGAAAGAATAGAGAAACTTGGACCTTCAAGGTCAATCAATAAACATAGCAAGTTACATTTTAACATGTGTATTAAGAAATACTCAACTTGTTTTTCAGAAGAGCATATTATGTCAGTCATGTAAAGCCATGCTCTCAGTATTGTGTGAAAGGAAAGCCTGCATTATGCGAGATGATGAAGTAATCTGGGAACCAATAAGGTTATTTAAAAAATTATCTAGCCACCCATGATATAATTTTGTATAAATTTGCAGGAACCTGAAAGGGTGCCTGCTTGCGCACCTTCAGATTTTATTGCCAAGTTATAAAATGTTGTTGCCTCTTTGGAGGGTCAGAATAGATTTCAGAGCAATTTGTAGTAATTAAGAAAATTACCCTGTAAAAGTAAGAGAACAAAATAAAATAAAGTACAGATATGAGCCATGACAGATGTTACAGAGTAGGGGAGCGGACGGGCAGACAATGAGTGACATTGTCGTTCGCGCGGCCCTGGCAACACGCGTCACAGATTAAATAATGGATGCCAGTTGGTGGGCACAGTGAGGAGGGAACAGAGCGTGCCTTGTTCCAGCTTGTCTAATTTCAGACTAATTGCTTAAGTACAGGCTTCTGTTCTCGTTATATAGCCAAAGGAAACTCAAACAGTGGAAATACTGTAAATCTTGTAATTCACCCCGGGTCACCGATCAGAACTGAATACATGAGCTTCGAGCAAAGAATCCCGATAACTTGTTGCCTTGCCTGCAGATGGAAGCCTGACGACGAGCACGCTTCTGGACCTTTCTCTCCCGACCAGGTTCTAGCTCACGTGCTCTGTTGGGGTCTGCCCTTCTTCGGACTCCTCTGTGCTCGTGACTGCGGCTCCTTGGGGTGGAGTGGAAGATGCCACGAGCTACCCGCTGGGACTGGTACAGTGCTCTGGCCCCAGGGCCGGGTGTCTCCTTGGGCTGTGGATTTCTGAGGTCTCAGGGAGATTAGCATTTGCCTTTTCTTGCTCTGGGACTTTGCGATCAGCTACTGAGGTGATCCATGTGAAAGCACTTTATTGGCACAAATGAAGGGATTACTACTTTTATTATTTTAGGGTGTGGAGTTGGTGGAGGGAAGAACACAAGTCAGAAGTTCTGGGTTTGAATCGTGGGTCCTCTTGTTGTAGGTCTCTTCTTTTCTGAATGCATTTTTTAAAAACACATTCCTATGGGTTTTTCTTTACCCCTTTAAATCAGATGTTCTTCACATTTTTGTGTGTGTGCCACAGAACCCCTTTGGCATTCTAGTGAAGCTAATGAATCCATTTTCAGACTAATGTTTAATGCATAAATGTAAGTACATAAAATCAGAATGAATAGGATTATGAAGGAAACCAGTATATTTTTATATATACTAATAGATCATTATCAATACATATACCAAAAAATGTAATATTGTAATATACAGTCTTTATTAATGCATTACATACCAAGAGCTAGTGGTAGGTCTAATAATTACTATAATTTTAAAGTGGACATGAGTGGAAATGATACTTTGAGATATTTGCAACAACTGGCAATGTGATAGGATTTCTTTGATTTCTAGTTGTGACAAGACACAGGGATGGCTAGTTTTGAAAGTTAGTAAAAATTAAAATGAAATTTCCCCCAACCCATGGCCTGAGTTCAGTCTGAGATGCCAGAAACCCATTCCTGGACAACATCGCCCTTTCCCTGTGCACTCTCCAGGGGCCAAGTCACCGCGTCCTGCTGCTGCCCTCCAGCTGCAGCCACCTTCCTGGGCATGGAGTCCTAGCTGTAGCCCTCCTGTCCGGGCAGCGGACTGGATGGAGCATCAGCCCTGCATCTCCTGCATATCCTGCCGCTCCTGGATGCCGGATGGCCCCCAGGACCTCACACACAGCCGCTGAAGCCAGCCCTTCACCTTGGCCATCCCCCCTCCCTCTTCCTGCCAGCCTAGTCTTCCTTCTGTGTCCCCAGCTCTGCGGATGATGTTAACAACCTCCTCGTGGCTCAGGTCCCAGTCTGAACTTGAACAAGGGAGCTGGTGAGCACCCGTGATTATTGCCCCAGCCTCTTTGATAAAGGTTGTGAAAATGTAACCTTGTATGTTTAGAAGTACTGGTCTGCCTTTCCCCTTACCTGCAACATCTTCTAAATTTCTACTTCCCTGCAAGGCCTAGTTTCTCCTTACTTATCTTTCCAGCATGCACATCTGGTCACTTTCTGGTTTAAAATCTCTCTATACCTCTTTGCCTCTGTGATGTGACATCAGAGGACTCCTGCCTTCCTCACAGTGGGTTTTTTTTTTCTGCCCCTGCAAGTCCCCCAGCCTCCCTGAGCTCCCTGTGATCCCTCCAATGCCCGGCTCCCCATTTTCTCCTTTGCTTTGGCAAGGCCAGTGAATGCCCTCTACCTGGGGGTCCCTTGCCTGCCATATTGCCTTCAGGTCTCAGTTCTGTGTCTGCTTTGCTGGCAAGCCTCTCATATCTAGCCTGCGCCATCACGAGGACTGTCTACAGAGCAGTTCTTGTCCAGCCATCTCTTCCTCCTGTGCTTTGACCAGACTGTGGCCGACTTTTACAAGTGCTGGGTATTCCGGGGGCAGAATTACTAAAGTATGTGCTTAGGAGCACTGCCTTCAGAGCCCAACTGCTTGGAGTCTAGTCCCAGCTCCACCACTAGCTATTTGACCTTGGCATGATACCCTAATTTAGGTGCCTTGCTTTTCTCATCTGTAAAACTGGTATAATAATAGAGTGGTGAGTTTTAAATAAGTTAATACTTGTAAAACACTTTAGAACCAGGGATAACTTATAGTAAGAACTTGAACATTAGCTATAATTATTAGTTTCAGTTTTAGTAATATGACTTGGGCTCTTTTAAAAAACTCTTTAATTTTTACTGGAGTTTTAGTAAAGACCATAATGTAATTTGAAACCCAATGTTTAATTGTTCTTATTTCCATTGAGATAGATATTGGAGGTCTGATTTTAGCAGACATAATTAATATGAGACAAACGAAACACTTTTTGACAAAAGGTAGGAAAAATCCTGGGAATACAACCTTTTAATGTAGAAAGATAGAGACACCATCCCACCAGTAGTGACTGAGATGAATTGGAGATACTTCCACATTTCTTTCATTTCAGAGATTATGTGGGCTTCACAGAATTTTTTTTGTTTTTGCAGATCTTTGGGTAAAGGAGAAGTCAATATTATTCATCAGAGGATTTTTCTTCCAATGCAAATTATACATGTTTGCAAAGCAGATCCACATAAAGAGATGGTTTTGAATATACATACTTTTTTGCATGAGTATTTTCATATCCCCTAGAAATAATATACTCTTGTGGGGAAAAATTTTTCATGATACTTACTACACATTGTATGTGAAATTAGTGTACTCTCATAATCTAGCGTTTTTGTTTTTCTTCCGACCTCCAAGTTTAACTGTTCTAGCCTTTTCTTAGTTTTGCCACCAGGTGGGGCAGTGGCTCCTTTTTAGGGTAGTTTTCTTGCGGAGGTGACTCGCCTGCTTCTCTCATTCTCACGTGACCCCTTGAGCCGCTGTTGGAGCTTGTCCTGGGTGAGGGTGGAGGAGGCAGGCGGCTCTCAGATGTGAGGGAGTCTTTGGGATTTTCCTGCCTGATCTTGTTGGGCTCATAGGCTGATGACTTACGTTTCATAGGTTTTGAGTAACTCGAATTGTTCCAGAAACACACAAAAATCTATTTGGCAACAAGTGAATCAAGTTTTTCTTGGAATATTTGATCCAATCTTATGGCTTAAAAGAAGCAATAAGGTTAGGTAACTGGACCATTATGTTATATAGCTCTTATTTAAATAAGATAGAAATCAAGCTATTAGAATTAAAACTCTTCTAGGAATTGAAAACTAGGGGAAAATTGTGTATATTGGAGACACATTATATTAAAAAGCATATTATAGATTCTTATTCTGTCTTAGGCAATATACTAGAACATTATTGACATTTAAGAAATAAATGCCTTAAGGAAATCATCAATTACATTTTCCTAGAATGAAAAATAAATTTAAATTCTATACTTTGAAACCATATTGAATCACATTAAGTTCTATTTCAAATGATAAAAAACTCAAAAACTATCAAAAGTCTTTTTATCACATATGTATGAGATTGAATTATGAGTGATTTTCATGTTTACAGGCACTAAGTGAGCATTAGAAATTAGAAGGTTCTTTGAAAAATTTTTTTCTTGAACTTAAATTAGCTTTTAGACTTTAGTGATTAATGAGGTTTTAGACCTTTGTAATGTGACCCCCTCCAAAATCTAAAAACTAGGACAATGTGCAACTTTGAGACTCAGAAACAGCAATTTCACATGTGCCTCTCATGACACTGCGGGGCCATGTGTTTTACTACCACCGCCACTCAACTTGGGTAACAGTGTGAGACTCAGCTCCCTGTCCTAGTGGAGGGCAGACTGTATTCCTCTTGCTTAAAATAAATGAGTCACTTTTGTGAGTATCTGAAGGGGAACAAAGTATGCATTCTCTTCAAGTTTGTGTGTTACAGTTTTCTTAGACAGCAAGTACAAAAACAAAGCCTGAAGCCTACGCTCATTCTGTCTGTGGATTTTATATTTCTCACAGCAGCCCAGTGTCTAGTTAACATGAGGGGTGTGGTTTCCAGTTCATTACTAAAGCTTATAGGCTAAAGTGCTTTGTGGGCTTGGCTTTGACTTGAGTTGCCTCTAGGGAGGCGGCCAAAAACAGGGAACAGACTGCTTTCCCTGTGTATGTGGATTCTCAGGGCCTTCAGTTGTTTTCCCCCTCTGGGCTATCAGCTGCTTTGGAGATTAGCTTCGTAGTAAGGATTCTTTCCTTGAAGCAGCATGAAGCGACTCTTTTCACAGGGGCCGCAGGTTAGTACGAAACCTTTTGAACTTTGTGCTGCATGTCAGATTTCTTTTCTGTGCTCGCTGGGCAATGAAATGACAGCACAGCATTTGTGATGTGGCTGTGTCCTTCTACAAAATAATGGAGGCTGGGAGCTATGATGGTCCTTATAATATAGGCATTGTCTGATACTCGTAAATGCAGTGGAATGCGAGATGAAATGTCCTGTGTGTGTTGGATTTGCAGTCTAGAGATTTGCTCTTGTTTGTAAGCGTTTTCAGTTCCTTTTTCAGAATTACTCTTTTTGGTGTCCTCTCATTAAATCTTTTGGGCATCACTGTGATTGTATACACAGTTGTTTCCAGTTTATTTCTGAACATTCGGCAGCAGGGCGCTGCGCCCCAGCTAGCGGCGGCGTCCCGCCCACACTCACAGCGCACAGGGTTCTCCCTGGGGCCTGCTCCTGAGAGTTACAATGAACCACAATATCGTTTTAATTTTCTCTTTGAAACATGTGGCATTTTCCTAGAATGCCTCATAAAATACCTGCCTAGCAACTGATGTGGGCAGTGTGTACAGGTGGAGTAAACTGAACTGAATTCCTTCCTTACCGTCCCTGTTTTTGAGTGAGTCCTCAGAATCCGGGGTTGCTCTAGGAGTAGGTGGGACTGTAAAGATGATTGCTAATAGTAATAAAATGAAATTAAGTCAGGAAAGCTAAGTATCGAGAGAATCTTTTCCTTAATGTCCTTAACTTAAAGATCTAGAGAGCAATTTGTCCTCTGTGAGTCTGTCACTGAAGCCATCCAGCATAAAATTGTTCTGTAACACGAGTTCAGTTCGATGATGTTTTGAGTTTACAAAACTTTAAGAAATATGCTTTTGGTTTATGTTATTTTTAAGAGTGCTTTTGTTCAAGGTACTGTACTAATGTTTTAAAATGTGCTACGGTGCTTCTGTTATTGCCATTTTAGTCTCCTGTGGGGTTTTTTTTGTTTTTCCTGCTGGGAAATACAGTGTTTTGGAGAGGGTCTGTTCTCTCATCCTCAACTCAGTGTGGTACAATCAAGGGAGAATGGAGACAGAAATAGGTGCTTAAAAAAAAAATCACTGAGGTGATTTACAAAGGTTTAAGGACCCAGTTCCCATTTCTGCTGAGGCTGACGTTGTCGAGTTATGACTATATGCCATTCGGGCACTCTGAAAAACTGGCTGCACCCCTAGCCCCTAAGACCTAACTGTGCAGCCACATCACCGACCTACTCCGCAGGTCCTCTCCTTAACAGCAAATCCACCAGCTATGACTTGCTTAATATATGCTATTGCTGCGTGCATGTGCTATTAACTAGGAGGTGTTATTAATTTAAATCTTAAAGGAAGACTTTTGTCAATCTGATTGTAGCTGCCCAATGATTTTAAAAGAACAATGTTAAGACATTTTACTCATTGATTATTTGTTTGTGCTTATTTTGCATGGATGCCTGGAAAAGCTGATGTACGTGTGCTAGGTCTGTTTTTGTGTTCACAAGTGCTTTGTGTCCTTTTCTTCTAGAGATAACAAAACAAAATACCAGTGATCAGAAACAGAAATAAACAATGAAACAAAGGATAAACTAAGAGGGGAAACTCCCTAAAATCCAAACTTTAGGGTTTTCCCAAAGAATATCCATTAAAATTTTTTTTTTCAAACATGGGGAGAAAAAAAAGACTGTAGAGTGCTCAAAATCTGTAATTATGGGATAATATATTTAAGCAAATCTTATTCCTGATTCTAGGTCTGTAACACACACTGCAATTCTTGCTCTCGTCTTGCCAGACTACTTTCGTTTTGTTGCATTTCAGCCTTTGGGCAAAAATCAAATAGGTATAGGCATTTTTTTCATTTCCACTCAAGTTACACTTTAATTAATATATATATATGTTCACCTGAGGATGTGTTTTTATTGATTTTAGAGAGAGAAAAAGAGAGAGAGAAAACATCAATGTGAGAGGGAAACATCTTTTGGCAGCCTCCTGTACATGCCTCGACCGGAACCAAACCTGCAGCCTGGGCCTGGGCCTTGAGCAGGGTTGAACCTGCCAACTTTTGGTGTGCAGGACAGCGACTTAACCAGCTGAGCCACCCGGCCAGGGCTGAGTTCATTAGCTTTTATCCAGAGTACTTTC